GAAACCATGGGAAAAAGGAACAGCTAGTCAATGACGCGATTTTAGCTGCTCAGCGTTACACCCAGTGGCTGCAATCGCCCGGGACCTGGGGATCTACGTTCTCAACTGGAGGGCACTGGAGAAGTCCAGGGTTGTGGTCAGCATGCAAATATAATTATTCCTGCAAGCCGCAGGGTTGTGAGGGATAACAAGCTTCGGACAAATGAATGGTGGGTATGATACATCAGTTCATAATAAAAATATGATCCCGACAAGTAGGTGAATTAGAAGTGTTCGCTTTCGTAAACCAAGCTCCTGACCTGCACAAGTAACTCATAACGGTAATTGTCGGCCCATATAGAATCTCCAGCAACTTCAATAAAAAAATTATAGTTTCTGAGCCCATTTTGATGCTACTCGCTTGCTCGAATTTTTCCTTCATATTTCGTCTCCATTTTTTTTCTTTCTTTCATTCCGGTGTATAAGGAAAGGAGGCGTCTTGGGGGGGCATAAGCCGTTAAGCTCCTGCACAATGACTAGAATAGCGCGTATGAAGAAATATGCTAGACAACCTCACGTTGTCGAAACACGCTTCGAGATTCCGGATTCCCGTATATGGGGTGCTCGATGCCTACCTTGGTCGACTTGAAAACGATACCTTTTGTGAATAAACAAGCATATGGCTAGAAGACGAAGCGCAAAGGTACTCCCTCGAAAACCTTCAGCGAAATGGTGGATGATTAGGACTCCACTGGTTCCCTCGGCTGAAACGGCCTCCATGCTGTCCGGCAATCGGGAACCTGTCCTCATCGAAATTACCATAGCGACTAATTGGCATCCCAGAGCCTGGTCCTGGGCGAGTTGTGTGGGAGGGATTGCAGCAGAGCATGGCCACACGTGAACCAAACTTAGAACCCCGGAGAGATACCATGTGTTTCCTTCATTGATATCCGGTTAGGCCTGTGCAGTGTCATAGTGAAGGGAAAGACGGTACCGAATATGGCTGGCAACCAGCTCACGCTGATGTGGTGCAGCATTCATCAAGATCCATTGGATTAGGTAGTTCCCATACTGGTCCCCAGCAACTATATTGCATCAGAAACCTTCAGTTCAAGCTGAGAAGGGTGCTTTCAGACTTACTGTCAATCAGAGGCATTCTAGGACGGTCAGTTCGGCCGGTGCAAACTCGAGCAAGGTAACGGTCCAAAAACTCGGTACCACCTATCTTCAAACATTTCTCTACAATCTTGGAGGCGAACTGGTCCATGCTATAATCCACAGACCAAAGAATGATGTGCTCTATTGCACGACTCTTATCCTGAGGAGCACCATGCTCACAGATATGCTGGATACACCAGTTTCCGAATTGACCGTGTGCAAGCACATCAATTTTCGCTAGCACTTCTTCGATCGCTGGACGCTGGAGACTTTGTCAGCATATTTCATCGTGCAAATCATGGAACTTCCATTTAGAATATGTCAGAATTCAAATTTTGGTGAGCTGCAATGGTTGAGAGGACGACAAGACGAGTAACACAGTTTGTTGAATAGGATTGACCGTGGGAGGAATTGACGTATAAGAAACAAAGTACCTTCTCATCCTCGACGCAGTTTTCGAAGATATTCTGGACTACCAAGCTCCCTGTCTCACCCAAGGCGACTTCATGCCACATCCCTCGCAGTGCTTCATTGACTTTGGTCATTATCTGGGGTGGCTCCCCACTCCAACGTAATTCGAAGAGTTTTTGCCAGACATGGCAGGCATACCGGTGAATGACAGTTTCTGGAATTCTGCGTAGAAGCTCGTGGACCATGACTGCCTTATGTTCTTCGGGCACACAATCAAACGCTTTCTGTATGACGTGACAGCCAAAGGGATCCATACTGAGGCTTAAAGTGTTTCCCTTGATCGCATTAGCGATTGACACGACTTGCTCTGGAGTCCCGTGTTCAAAGCATCGCTGCACTAGAAAGTTGCCAAAACGATTGACCATCAGGGGATAGGCTTGGTGTACTATGGCCTCTATGATATCATATTTCTGCTCTGTGGTCCCTACCTTCAGCTTCTGCTGCAGAAATATTGATGCTTGTTGATCATTGTTGCAAACAATCTTGTCAACGATATATTTCCAATCACAAGAGACATTCCTGTCGAGGAGCCGTCGGTAGTTGATTGGCTCGAGGGGAGAGATGTATGTTTGATGGGTGTTTCCTCCCGCCTGGCAGCATAAGCGTGGCACTATAACAAATAATTCGAGCTCCTACTCACCACAGAAGTTGACCATTGCGCTGCACTGGGGTTGGAAGCTGTAAACTCAGTCGCCGTGGGTGAAAGTGGAGTTCCAACCGGCCGCTGATGGTATTGAGGGATGGGGAACAGACCAACATGTTGGTAGGTGCTATTGGATCTATTCACAGGAGACCTAGGACCATGTGAGTCCGAAGAGCCAGGGGTAAATGCACTCCAAGCAGAGCTTTGTGGCTGAAAATAAGGTCCATTGCGGCTGGCTTGAGTGATCGAACGGCGAGGTCCAAGGCCGGGTCCTTCGAGAAATCTCACCTGTTCTTCCGGGAGTTTTGTGTCGAGGGTGTAACCCCCACTGGAGGGCCCTGAAAACACACGATGAGATCGTAAAGCATCGTGTCCAGGTACACTGGTATTCGTGCCCGAGTTACCCCAAAATCGGTTCGAATCTCCGCCGAGTGAATTAGCACTTGGCAAAGATATAGGCTCGCCATATGATCTTTCGATAATGGGGGCACTAAGAGCCGTACTACACACTTGCTGCGTGGGAGTATTCCAATATCCCCGAGACCTATTGTAAGCTCCTGCGGAAAGCGCATCAGACATATCTGATTGCGAATCGTCCTGAGCATTCCAACCATCTTGAAACTGGCTATATGCCGGGTTGGATGAATTAAGGGCGCTCTGGAGATTACTTATCGTTTGTTCCGTGATGTCTCCATTGAAATCGATTTCAGAGGGTGGCCCAAGTGCCTGGTCTAAGGTATGTTTAATCACGCGTGTCTGGGCCAGTTCCTGCTCCTGGAGGGCGATTTTAGAATTAGCGACAAGCAATTCTTGCTTTAAACGTAGTACCTCGCACATATCGACCGATACATTGTCCGCTTTGCCAACATCGAACGAGTGCGAGACGTCCCTAGGTCGCTGAATACTTGACGCCTTAATTAGCCCTGACTCGTCTCCTGGAAGAATCCTGTGGTTGGTAAATGTGTGATTGGATGATCTAAGCAAATCCTGCTTGTCTGGCAAAGCCGCAATGAAATCTTGATCTACAGGATACTTGGGGGTTGTCGACTGCGGCTTGGGCGAGAGCTTTGCTAGAAGTCTTTCCATCTCAGAGTGTCCACAGAAAGTGAAATTGCTTGAATGTTCTAGCTTCTGCTTCTAGGATTGTGAGTGCCTTGAATTTCTTGAGGTTTCTGGTGTATCTGACCTTATTCGACGGGATGTCATGCTTGTCAACCCCAGAGATCTGGCAATCTCCACTTTTGGAGGATACTGTACAATCTGAAGGGCTGGTGGAAACATTCAAATGCTTAAGGCCCTGGGACAATGTAGTAAGCTATTTAGAGGAGAACAAGTCTGTGGCTGCTCTAGATTGTCTTCATTCAGTTACTTACTGACGATTCACGTTCAACATATACTGCGTGTGTCGTAGCACTCGTGCCACTGTCGATGATACCCTCTTCACACTTTCTGCGTTCCGGATTGAGGGGGACATCGGAGTGTGAAGACATTGTGGATAGTCACTCGAGAGCACTGCCACAGAAGTCACAGTTTGCGAAGGTCGGCAAACACAGGGTTTGACAGGAAAATAGTCGAAAGCACACTGGTGAGCAAATAACGCGGGCTGTACGGAATCCAAATCCTCCACAAATAGTTGAAGGCTGAATATGAAGGAGATAGCTAACAAATGACTATAAGTGGGGAGGTACGTTCAATTAACTGCGGGACAATTCAGAAGGCAAATGGCAGTATCTGAAGACAGGGAAATCAAGGCCCGAATTTCGAACCAAACGCGTTACAAGGCCTGCGTCAAGGATCTGCAATCAAGGAAAGAGCGATGAAGACACCATTGCGGAGATTAGAAAGGGAGGAAGAAATCGAGAGCTGGAAGCCCTGGTCAAGGATCCATCTCCGAGGCACGTTTTGGTGCAATTGTCTTCTATTCCTGGGGAACATTTGTTAACAAAATATAATCTTGCTAAGAGCTAATGACTCCCATTATTTCTTAACCTAGACAGTGCTAAGAGTGATTCGAGAAACTGCTTTTGTCTTTGTTTATGCCCTTTGAACAATACTACGGCTGAAGATTGCTTTGGTAATTTATGTCATTAGATTATGACAAGCAAGAATGATCCGCAGTGGCGGTTCCAGACCATGTGTACAGTAGCAGCGAATTCCCAAGATATGCAGTGGTGAAGTTTGTTGATTAGAGAAGAAGAAAAGAAAAAGGGTGTACTGAGCGGCTGTCCCTTTATTGGGGAGGCCTAGATGAACTGTTCCAGACCTCTTTCTACCTCCAAATGTGTCTAGTAGGAAAGATAACCCCTCTCGCAACATCACACCCAGATACTGTGATCTCATGTTGTATTATATCTTTTTGGATATGTGAAAAAAAAAATCTTGGAAGTAAAACTTAGCCAGTAAGCTACTCGATCCATACCAAACTTGAATATCGAAAGCCATCTATTGTCCAACTCAAAATAAGTGCATTCTCTGTTGCTCTAGTAATAACCTCAGTTTTGCTCTTCCCGATTCTGTCAGATTCCATGGCAATCAACGGCATAGAGCTTGGTGAAAATTATAATATCTCATGCTGACCAAGATTGACAATGATAGCTAAAGATTTACTGACCATGTGTAAACAAGTATATCGATATAGAGTGATTACATGTTATCTCTATACTACTCAATTTTCAAGTCAGAGCAAAAATACTAAGAGGAAAAAGTATATATGGTGTGGTGTGAAACTACCAAAATATCTTCAAACGGAACAAACTCTTATTCATCTATCATAACATTCTGAGCGAGCTGTTATACTGCATCCATCACTCAATGAGGAGAAATAGAGATAAGAGAGTCGCAGGTGTCCTTGAGGAAATTTTGTAGCCGGAAGCCTGAAGACACCGGCAGCACAAACCATCTTTGTTAGGGCCTGCGAAGGCCACGATCCTACCTCTTTTCAGCCCTTCGCATTGAGTAGCGAGATGAAGATCTGTGGTACTGTCTGCAATGGAGTGATGTGTAGGTCCGCAGAACTAAACTCTCCCATAAGGTCCCAGAGTATTAGTAACAAGATATTAGCTTTCATCAGCGTCAGGTACTGCAGTAAGGGATTAAAGATGAAGCAGTTGTTTCGAAGAATAAGTAGTTCAGAAAGAGAAGAAAAACAAAAAGACATTCCCCACATTTTTCCAGCGTCGGCCATGGTTGGGAAAAGTGAAGTCCGTTTGGTTGTGATTAGTTCGGGAAGCTTATTATCGGAATACAAGGGCATACTAATTAGCAACAGTCAATTATTTAAGTTATGCAAAGATTGTCGCTAGTTAGTTAATCAACTATACATGTTTATGTAACCAGATCCCTGCCTATTCCGTCTAACGCTATCGGACGGAGAGACCTACTAAACCAGTACAAGTTCCGGCTTGCTTACTCCGTTACAACCTTAGTAAACAGGTGTATGTAACATCCCGCCCGAGCAGCGTGTTCCGAATACTCAATGTTAATTCGTCCATAGGGATTCGTCATCTAGAAAACTGCAAACGTTACCTTGCAGCGCCGACGTACTGCTGCTACCTACTACCCGCCTAATTATCCTGACGTACCCTGAATCACGCAAGCTCGAAAACATCACGTTCGGCTTCCATTTTTGAGCCCCAAAAAGCCGATCTGTGCTTGTTACCACTCAAGCCGACTGGAGGGCTCAACTGTCATTCTCAATCGCCATACAAGAATTGGATTTAAATGGTAAAGTAGCATTGCATTTACATACTTGGAGCCAGCTAACGGGACCGATCAATTATCTAGGTCTTCGAAATTGAGAAGTTAGGACATGACCACAACGACTGTGACCGGCACTGGGAGACGCTCTTCTGTACGGCTGCCAGACCTTCAAGTACCGGCGACTTCATCGACCTCGCAACAAATGACCAGTCCAATAGACAAGTTCCCGCCATTCATTGATGAAGTACCCGAGACTGCGACCGAACCAAGAGAATCGCATTCCAATTCGATCAGATATGCGGCGACAGATCGCTGGGAGCCACGGAAGCAAGCACCGTTTGCACGGGATAACAGGCATCCTACATTGAATTCGAAAAGAAAATCAAGGAAAAGTATCAGCGAGGCGATTAGCACAATTAGAACACGCAATGGCAGTGTTAGCGCCAATGCACAAGAGTTGGCCGAGGCCCTTAAAGCTCCGGTATCATACAAGCTGATAGTAAGATTATCGGACTTGCATGGATTGTTTCCTACCCTGTTGCTTACCCGGCTTAGGTTCTCTGCCTTATATGGTACATGACCTCCGCCCTGACGAATACCTCATCGAAGTCCATCTTAAATGCCCTTCCGAAACCAATAACGCTTACGATCGTACAATTCGCCTTTGTAGCATTCTGGTGCTTGGTCTTGACCTATTTATCAACAGTGCTACCCTGGCTGAAAGATAGCATACCGGCCCTCAGGAACGGGATCCGCCCCCCGTCCCGTGATGTTGTTCTGACAGCTTTGCCTTTGGCAGTGTTCCAGTTAGCCGGCCATATACTTAGCTCTATGGCTACCTCTCAGATTCCCGTCTCACTCGTCCACACAATCAAGGGACTTTCACCTTTGTTCACAGTTTTGGCGTATCGGGTCTTCTTCCGAATTCGATATGCCAAAGCAACATATCTTTCTCTTGTCCCATTGACTTTAGGAGTGATGCTCGCTTGCTCTACAGGCTTTTCGACAAACTTTTTCGGCATACTATGTGCGTTAGTAGCTGCATTGGTCTTCGTCTCGCAGAACATATTCTCGAAGAAGCTGTTCAATGAAGCGTCTCGTGCAGAGTCAGAGGCAGAACCGTCCAGCCGGCGAAAACTGGATAAGTTGAACTTGCTTTACTATTGCTCTGGATTAGCCTTCATTCTTACACTACCTATCTGGTTCATAAGTGAAGGATATCCTTTGATCTCCGATATCATACACGATGGCGCCGTCTCGTTGTCGGGAAATACAGGCTCGCTGGATCATGGCGCTCTCTTCCTCGAATTCGTATTCAACGGGGTGTCGCACTTCGCACAGAATATACTGGCGTTCGTCCTCTTATCTATGATATCACCAGTTTCTTACTCCGTCGCATCTTTGGTGAAAAGAGTCTTCGTGATTGTCGTTGCAATCATTTGGTTTGGAAGCTCGACGACATCCATTCAAGGCTTTGGAATCGCTCTTACTTTTATTGGACTTTACCTCTACGATCGCACTAGCCATGATGACGTAGCGGACCAGAGAGCAAATGCTGACCATTTTCGCACAAGGGAAACTATTCTTCCCCTGAATGTCCAGACCGCAGGCAAAACATGGGACTCAAATGGCTATGGCCTGTCGGCAAACAAGGTCTCTCACTATCACTCACCAGATGGCCCTGCCTCACATACTACAAGTACACCTAAGAAGGATGATGATGACCAGGGCCGTATCCGTCCCAGAGGAGGCAGTAGCTCCCGGGTGTGGCTACCTCCTGGCACAAAGCAAGAGACCACTTGGAAGCCGAATGATTCCTAGTTTTCCTCTGTCTTGATTGTCAATCTCAGTCTTTGTTCTATAATATCCGCTGTCTGGTCATGTTCTGAGATTCGAATGTAGCATATTACGGTGGTCTTTAGTGGCCTAGTATTGATATTGTAACCAACGTATTCTTTGAGAACTCTAAAGCTGTATATGCCTAGGGACATATTTTTTTTTCCCAGTTGCTTGCATATATTGGCCTCATGGTAGGAATGTCGGGCTATAATGCTGGAGAACTGGTATACATGCACGTCGATACCCGGGGAAAGTGTGAAACTACTCATACATGCTAATAATGAATTGATCGAGTCGGTTGTATGGCAATTACTATTGCAACGCTCAGCTTATGAGTTCGGGCTTCTTACTGTATGCCATTCACGGTAGAACTTTAATTTCAAGCTGTACTTGTCGGCTCCGCACCACGTGTTTTACCGGGAACAAGAGATTAGAAGCTTGCGAAGAACGGACCCGAAAAAGTACCGATACATCATCCACTACGCAGCAGAACAGATTGACATGAATATTGTGCATTTGTTAATCTTCAATTCCCTTGTCTATATACGGCAAAAGATGTAGCGACTGTCAGTAAAGAACTATACCCTCATCAGGTGTTCCTTGATGAAAAACCCTAAGGAGCTCCAGCTCAGTGCATCTTCTTCTTGGGTCATGTTGCAGAGGAGGAAGGGAAATGAAGAACCCTGCCACCTACAATAAATCATGCCCGTGAATGAGTTATGGAGAGAAAGAGAAAAGAGGAAGGAAATAGCGTCGGAAGGGCTTATTAAGAAAGAAAAGGGAGTAGTGCGGACTAAATAATCCTCCGAATAGCCGAACCAATCCGCAGGCGGCAATTTGCGAGTGACGCCCCGGCTCATGGCTGGCAGAATCCGAACCAAGCCAAAAGTGCACCTCCCATCAAGAATCTCCCAGCACTGTAGACTTCCACCGGCGCCTTCAGATAACGTCCATTGCGCTCGCTGCTCAAGTCTACTCTATCCTCTCACATTTGTTTCTATTCACAGTATGCGGCCGCAGTTATCTCGTGCGGCCGCCCGGCTCGTCCGGGTTCCCAAGGTCAACTACCCCAGGACTTTCGCGACGACAATCCCTCGCTCCGCTGAGGTTGAACTCACAATTGGTAAGCCACATGCTTCTTGCTGAACTTACGTAGCTTTGCTGACCTCTTTCTCTATCTAGATGGGAAAAAAGTTTCAGTCGAAGGTGAATTTGTGTCTCCTTACATGGCTTCTCAGCATCTTGCTTACATGGCTTAAAGCTGGCTCCGCTCTCATTCAGGCTTGCGAGAAGGCAGGCGCCACGGTTCCCAGGTATATTGACCCAAACCATTACCACTGTAGAGGATAGCTAACAACAATTGACAGATACTGCTATCATGAGTATGGTCCAAATTGCCGATTATCATTGTTTTGAGTACTAATCGAACCACAGGAAGCTTTTGATTGCAGGAAACTGTATGTCTATGTTTGTTACCAGGTAATTGGAGAGGTCACTGATTGTTTTTCTTTATAGGCCGTATGTGTCTAGTCGAGGTCGAACGGGCGCCTAAACCTGTGGCATCATGTGCTTGGCCTGTGCAGCCGGGCATGAATGTTAAGACGAATTCACCACTTGTACACAAAGCTAGGGAGGGTGTTATGGAATTTCTTTTGGCCAACCACCCTCTTGATTGTCCGGTTTGTGATCAGGGAGGCGAGTGTGATCTGCAAGACCAGTCAATGAGGTACGGCGCCGACCGTGGGCGTTTCCATGAAGTTGGTGGCAAGCGCGCGGTTGAGGACAAGAACATTGGGCCCCTTGTCAAGACGTCTATGAACAGATGCATTCACTGCACTCGGTGTGTTCGGTTTATGAACGATGTTGCCGGTGCCCCCGAATTGGGAACCACTGGCAGAGGAAACGACATGCAAATCGGTACTTATTTGGAGAAGAACCTTGATTCGGAACTTTCAGGCAACGTCATTGATCTTTGCCCTGTTGGTGCTCTCACCTCGAAGCCCTATGCTTTCCGTGCTCGTCCTTGGGAGTTGAAACATACAGAATCCATTGACGTGCATGATGCTTTGGGCTCGAACATCCGGATCGATAGCCGAGGCATGGAAGTCATGCGTGTAATCCCCAGACTCAACGACGACATTAACGAGGAATGGATCAACGACAAATCTCGGTTCGCGTGTGACGGTCTGAAGACTCAGCGACTTACAACACCCTTGATTCGTCGTGAGGGCAAGTTCGTTCCGGCTACTTGGGAGCAGGCCCTGAGCGAGATCTCCTCCGCCCAGCAAAACTTGCAGCTGAAAGAGAACGAGTTCAAGGCTATTGCAGGACATCTTGTGGATGCCGAGTCGCTTGTTGCCATGAAAGACTTGGCTAACAAGCTTGGATCCGATAACCTCGCTCTGGACCAGCCGGGTGGCAGCTCGCCTGTTGCCCACGGTGTTGACGTTCGTTCGAACTACCTTTTCAACTCCAAGGTCTACGGAATTGAAGAGGCTGATGCTATCCTTCTCGTTGCTACCAACCCTCGTCATGAGGCCTCTGTCCTCAACGCACGTATCCGTAAGCAATACCTGCGCTCTGACTTGGAGATTGGTCTTGTCGGAGAATCATTCGATAGCACTTTCGAATTCGAGCATCTTGGATCCGATGTCAACGCTCTTAAGGCTGCCCTTTCGGGACAGTTTGGAGAGAAGCTCGCTTCTGCTAAACGTCCAATGATTATCGTTGGTAGTGCTGCGGCTGAACATCAAGACGCGAAGGCGATTTTCGAAACAGTCGGCAGCTTTGTTGAGAAGCATGGCAACAACTTCAACACTCCTGAATGGCAAGGCTACAACGTCCTCCAGCGTGCGGCATCTCGTGCTGCAGCCTACGAGGTTGGCTTTACCACACCGTCTCCCGAAATCTCCCAGATCAAGCCTAAGATGGTTTGGCTGCTGGGTGCTGATGAGGTCACTACGAGTGAAATTCCAAGCGATGCGTTCGTTGTCTACCAAGGACACCATGGTGACCGAGGTGCCCAACTTGCCGATGTTGTCTTGCCCGGCGCAGCCTACACTGAGAAGTCTGGCACCTACATCAACACTGAGGGCCGTGTTCAAGTTACCCGGGCAGCGACTTCGTTGCCTGGTGCGGCTCGTGACGACTGGAAGATTATTCGCGCTACCAGCGAGTTCCTCAACGTTCCACTGCCTTACGATGATATCGAAGCTCTCCGCGATCGCATGGAAGAGATCAGCCCTGTGATGCGTCGATATGACGTCGTTGAGTCCACCTCCGTGGGCTCCCTTAGCAAGATTCAGTTGGTTGATCAGAACAAGGGTACACAGCCAACTGGAGCGCCTTTCAAGCGTGTTATTGAAGACTTCTACTTCACTGACTCCATCTCTCGAAGGTATGTAGAAGTAATACCCTTGAACATTTTTTGTGAGGAAGCCTCTCTGACCATGTTATAGCTCACCTACGATGGCCCGCTGCTCAGCAGCCAAGGCTACGGGTAATCCCGAAACTAACTTCATGGCTGCTGGAGAGATGTCGCCCCAGGCTTTGTATGGCTAAGATTACCACTTGTAGTTCTGATCTCCCGGTTTATCCTTATTTTAGGTCTAGGCGTTGTCGTTGTAACACCTAAACATCATTTTCTTTCCTTTGTTCATTCCTCCCAGTAATGCGTACTGCTATTGGTTCCTCCCTCACAGTGAAGTTTCCTGAGATAGGAGAGGATGCGTCACTAGTGGTGATATTGTATATAAGTTCAAAATAAGCTTGAGAGGCTTGACGAAGTCCATTTCATGGAAACATTGGTTAGATCAAGTCACAGAAACTACAGAATGTGGATTATTCATGGAATGGGTACATATTGATTGATGCACTGATATTCCCTCTGCTATGCCTTCATAACTCATCATCGTCTGTCTCGCCTGCGGTTTCTTCGGCATTGTCTTGTTGATGCTGTAGATCTTGTACTGTGTCTTTCCTTGATCCTGACCCTCTGGTGAATGGAAGTTCCCTGCGGGGTGGCGGTGACTTGTTTTGCATCCTAGATGGATGGTAGGCTTCTTCCGTTTTATTTGGTTCACTTACCCCCTGGTCGATGCCGGACGCTGTGGGTGAATCCTCATCAGTAGTATCATCTACATCCTCCAATGGCTGGGGAGTAGAATTCGGTTCATCGTCCGTATCTGAGACTCTTCCTGGGCTGGTTTGAGGCTTGGTCTGATCCAAGCTCTCCGAGCCATTATCGCTTTCAGCATCGTCATCGCTCGTTTCCACAATAGGACGTTTCGCATGCTTCTTGCTCCCGACACGGGCCCCGGCTTTTGATGAGGCAGCCTGATGTTTACCAGCTACATTTTAATAATCCCAGGATCAGCTATTGTTGAGTCGACTCGAACATGTGACCTTACCATTGTCCACATCAATTTTCGCCGAAGCCAACAAGCGTTGTTGATTGCGAATTTTGAGCTTTTTCTGATTTAGAACTTGCGTAAAGTTCGTCATAAGCTGTTCCTCATGGCGGCGTTTTGCAGATATGAAGTCTTCAATTTGCTTATTGAGCTGCTCGATAGTGCTGTCGGCTTCGTGATAGTGCCGTTGCAATTTTAATAACTGCTGCTCAAGCATATCAGCTCTGGCAACGGCGACGGCAGACCAGTCAAATAGCTGGATAGCTTGCTCATCATCCTGCTTTAGCGCTATAGAACCGAGTCTTTGCTGTGGATCATCAGCACCACATCTGATACTTTTTGGTGGTTGGAATTACAGTTATAGTTTGGACCCTCCGGCGAATAGTGAGGACCAGTTGATTGCCCTGCCTACCATGCCCCTTGATGCTAGCCGATAATTCAATACCAGATAGCAGATCTGAATTATCTGTATTGATCTCTAGCTGACCCAAGGCACGCAGTAGGATAAGAACCCAGTCCTCATCGGTACCCTGGTAACCCTTTGAACGGTGAGTCTGCGCACGAGCCTGTCGCACTAATCTGACTTAGTATATCACAATATTTGAAGACAGACAAAAGGGACAGTATTATGGACACCCCATACCGACCCCATTATACGGAAATTCTCCTTCCGTTGCAGTGAGATTCAAGTCGAGTGCAGCCGTATTGGTGCGCGCGACGTGGAGCAGCACATGGCTGTCGGGCTCATCAGACCTGGGGACACGTAGAAGCCGAGGAGGTGACGCGTGTTCGGACGTAGACATATTGCTGTGACTTTTACTACCAGGACTTGATGCAGTATGAAAAGTATTGCATCCTATTTTATATGAAGACGAATTTGGGATCTGTCTAGGCTGCCCTAGGAGAGGAAGGAGTGTTGCCTAGACAAGCTGTAACTATAGACTTTGGTAGCCGCAAGCACCCATGTATGTGGAACTTGTATTTTATTATGTAACTTCAGCAAAGTGGTAAAACTACCATTCAATATTGCGACGACAGATGACTTGATCCTGAGCTAGACCTGGTACCTGCAGTGGTGTGAAGCAGTACAAAGTAGTGCTCGGTGAAACTGCGGTACTGGAACTCCGTTCAATAGCTGCGATCGGCCGACTGTGTGGATCATCAGTGTGAGTATCCCAGCTCAGACAGTCAACTAGCAAGAGTCTAGCTATGATCTATGCAGTGCTAATAAAGGGACTAGCGAATGCTGGGTGGGTATAGCACCTTATTTACCCATTTACGCGGCCAACCAAGGCGACGTAGCATTACCCAATAGAAGGGGAAGAAAACGGTGAAACCCAAGCCGTATTTGATTCAAGATGAATGTATGTAGTAGTTAGTAGTTCTCGTCGACATTGCCGTCGGTCTCAGCCAAGGCCCCTCCGCCCTTTTTTCTTGCCGTACTTTCGTTCCCATGGCCTCAGCTTCATCATTTTTGTCATACAAACGAGGCTTGATAGCTGGCTCCGTGATTATTCGTCGATGATCACCATTTGGTGCCGTCGCGCTCTGGTTTCGGCGTTACATCCATCCCAGGCTCTTTTCCCTTGTCCGTAATTCCCAGGTTGCGTTCCTCACTTTTGTTCCCTTCCCTTCTGACACCACGCGCCAACTCTCGAGCGAATATCGGAGCACACATTCTGGCCTCACCTTGATCATTCTGTTCGGTTTCTGTTGATTTTGAGACTTACATGCGACCCTACCTGCTTGGCCTCAGTATAGGGCAACCTGCCACTCACATAGATAGCTGCTTCAGTCGAGTTTCCCCTTTTTGGAACACCGTCAGGCTTCCCCCTCACGCCTTCTAACGCTATCGCTCTTGTTTAATTGCCAATGCACGATCATACGTCGCCTATCCGATCCGAGTAATCGACGCATATTCAATCTGACCTGTCTCACCAAGCACGGAATGACTTTGCTTTCCCTTGGCAGCCGAATCTCAGCGCTCGTGTGCTTTCCATCTGCTACTTAGAGCCCCGAGGATCTTTGATCTCCTATATGAGCATACATCAGGTTAGTGCGAGAACATGGCTCCCTTCACTCTCGAGGTCCGCCACAGTGAGGAAGAAACGATCGAGTGTTGGGACGATGACGATGATCTACAATGCTACGAGGATATCCAGCTACGAGCCGCATCAACAGCTACATCTGTGACGACTTCGTCAGTGCGCCGGTCGGGCCACCGAGATTCGATTTCATCGCGTCGCTCAGGACGTTCCGATATTGATTCCAACGCAGGAGGGGACGAGGATTGGCAGGTTCAGCTGTTGGACAATGACGAAATCATCACCGAAGAAGCTATCGCTTCTGCCAAAAACGCCGGGATCCCTTTGCCTATGAACGTCCCTCGATCGGCCCTCATTGGAGGCACCATCAAGCGCCTCGGACACAGAAAGCAGAAGAAGGATATAGTCGACGACTGGTCAGATGACGTCGAATTTCCAGGTCCCGACGGCACCCTTGAGTTAAAGCGTTCGCTAAATATGTGTTTTCCTGAGTCTCTTCGGCAAATCAATTCCGCTGCCCCAAGTCCGACCAAAACCTCCGCCCCGTGTTTTTGGGATAGCGAGGCCTCGACACGCCTTCAGTCAGCTCTTGCTATCACTTCTATTTCACCGCAAGAGGGCGGGCTCGTTGACACTCAAGACGTTCCTACGATTAGGGTTGCCAAGCCTCGGTCGCCAGACAGAGCAACGCGTATCGACAGTCCGACTCCTGAGAGAGGCCAGGATTCCACTGACAATCTCGAAGATGATTTCGAGTTACCGGCGGATGACATCCTGCTCCGGCTCTCCCCTAGAAAGACAGCCGTGGAAACCGCCGGTCCTACTCCTGATGATATCGACGTAGATTGGTCAGAAGGCAGTATTGGAGTCCGGTTCGGGGGTACCGCAAGGGATCAGCCATCAATTCCAAGCTCTTCGGTTTCCGTTGTCAGCCCAAGTTCATCGAGCTGTCTCACGGTTGAGAGTGAAGATGAAGGCCTTGATGGCCTCGTCATCCCAGAAGGCCCGCTTGATTTTGAAGCGTCCTTAAGGAAGCGGAAAGAATCGCCCAGTGATGACGTACGGTTGGAACGGCGTTCAGTTAATCAAACGCCAGTCCTTACTGACGACTTCTTCTCGGGCCTTGAAGTCAACAATGGAGAAGTATTTAATCCTCGCAGGCTGTCGATAAACCCCAACGTCAAGTGCAAAACGGAAATTCCCAAAAGTCCTGCGCGGCACTCAACAACTACAATCACGTTCACAAACACGGCGGTTTCCCCAAAGACTCGAATTCCTCGCCTTTCAGGACACGACCGTCCTCATTCAACCCATCTCGAGACTGTGTCGGAGAGCGGTGCTCCTCTGTCAAGATTTCGGTCATCACAACGCCGGGCTGGGGGTCATTCGTCACAGTCTTCCGTCTCCAGCCTTCCTGGGTCTTCCACATCTCAAATACCGTCAACCCCTAGTCGACGGCTCATGGGCGCTGGTGTATCGAATGATAGCTTTGCTAGTGAACGCATAACCTCGGGTAGGCAACTACTGAGAACCAAGCGCTCAATGCCAACATTACGAAATCCACATCAGACTATCTCAAATATTCAAAGTCTGCCTACACTACAAGATGGTTCGGACGTGCCTAAATACTACGCCACCCGACCGAAAACTCCTGTTGACCGGATAGGAAGTGATACGAAGACTTTCGCTCGTAAAACTCAGGCACCATTTCTTCCTGCCGGTGCCTCGGATAAGCAGTCGCATCATGCCAGTGTCAAGAGTTCTCGATACAATCGTCGGTCCAGTTCAGATAGTCCCAATGATGCATCAAATCCCCAAGGACATGGAACCCGACTGCCGCGATCTACTCGCCATGATACTATGGGTAAGACTCTCAATGAGTCTAGTCCAGAGGCATTGGTCGCTGCAAGCAAAAGAACACTTACGCGACCTACTCGAAGGCGCAATTTTGGTGATGGTTCTGAATTGGCACTATTTGACGATCTGCCCACATCTTCTTCAGCAGAGAGAAAATTCGTGAAGCATCCTTCGGGGCGAGGTGTTCCGAGGACACTTAGAAGTAAATTAAACAACGGCCAGTCTAATACAGCAAAGGCAGATGCCACAATCGAGCAAGCCACACCAAGCGCTACAATCAGGCTAAACAGTGTCACACCAAGATTCGCACGGGACACGAACGCTTCGAGGAACGCAAGAGAACAGCGCATTGCATCGTTAACGAACACGCCAAAGAACCGCGACAATCACCCGCTTGCTCCTCTTGGGATGAATTGGAAGCCTGCGAATGTGTCGCGGGTGCCTTCGAACTCGGCAACTATCCGGAGCAGGAAAAGCAAAGCTGCGCCAGTGCCTGTCTCCAAACCACAACTAATCAAACCCATGGGTACGGGTGTGCAAGAGCCCAAATGTAAGTTCAGCTCCAGTACATGATGGGAAAAGTGCTGACATCCTTAGCTCTTAATGGCATGCGTTATAATCCTAGTTCCTTTTGCTGGGAAGGAAATGAAAACATAGTCCAGGATTTCGACACTATGTCCCCCAAGTCACCAAAGCCGACCCCTGCTCTAATCACGAATATAGGCGCGATGAAGAATGTGCAGGTCGTCGGCGGAATGGTGTTTGATCCACAACGTATGTGCTGGCTCAAATTGGCGCCATTGCAGCCGGGGAAGGATGGGCTGGTTGCTATTCAAGACGAAGACGATGTCTTTGCAGGTCTAGACGACCTAAAAGAGCCGTCCAATACCGCGGGGGGACGAATTTCGGGCGCCTATGATGAGTTCGGTCTCGCGGCCAGTATTGATGACCGCAGCTACGAAGATTCATCGGACGAATGGCCCATAACGGAAGAGTTTGACGTGGGCCCGGAGTTTATCAGGCGCCAGCGTGCGGAAGAAGAGAAGTGGAGGCGCAAGGTCGATAAATGGACCACTCATGATCGTGGGAGGTTCGGGGACGGTTGGAGATGGGCTATTCGGGATCTGGTGAGATTCAATAATAGCACGCTCAGCACACAGCACCTTGACCGCACATGACTCGGTCGCGAGTGGCGCTTCCAAGAACAGGGGGCCAGGGCACTATGAAGTGGTGAAAGGCCGCTGCTGTTGCATTGAAGCAGCTCCTATTGGCCTATGCAACCCAACCCTGCTGCCAGCTTTCGATGATGGCAAGTGGTGATGAAATGGGAAGACTCATGATTATTCTACGAGACTATGACTTAAAGAGGTGCGATTTGCTTTGCTTCTTATGAACCGGTTGTTATATGTAACTTATTACCACGCCATTGATGGACAGATGACTTTTTCAGGGATGTATAATAACTGATCATTTTTATGTGAATCCAACTGTAAATGATAGGAGGAATCCAGGAATGAATCCTTAAATCGAAAGCAGTCAGCTACTGCCCGGGGTGCTTGGTCCTAGGATCTTGTAGAACAAACACATAATGTCTAGACTCCTTGATCATGGTAGCGCCTCGCCATTCTATAAGAACTGGATTGTCGAGGTTCGTAGTATCATACGCTTGCCACATCCACTGAGGGACATATTTGCGGTTTCGTAATTATGGTTGTGGTCAGCATGGCTGTTAATAAATACTTTACAATACCTACGTGGGCTAGGTCTTCCTGCTTGGCGTGTTAGGGCTGGGCCAAAATGAGGCAGACAGAGATTCTTGGAGCAACTCATCATGCATGTTCACAGAATCTAACTCTTCTGCACTAGTCCGTTTTCCATGTTATGAGTTGAGCAAAGATCTTTATCCCCAACCCTCATAGCTGCATACTTGTCCGAAGCTCCTAACCAGTATTTGTAGCACAGCCCTAGAATCCAGGCTCGACTAAGACGTACCAGTTGCGATCACAGCCACTACCTGGCAGGATTTCCCCCTCGCGTCGGAAACTAACCTACATCACTTACTAGATCATAAGCTTCCCTTTCCGATGGGCCTTGACATCCCCATCATGATGCAAAGGCTCTTCGGCCCCAACCCCCCGCATCCCCGGGAGTTCCGGATTGTTCGTATGTAGTAAGTAGCGCTTGCCCTAACCCAGCAAGAACATAACCTGCAAGATCATGAGAGTCGAGTTTTCTGAATTTTTCTGAAAACAGCTACTGCTTTATTGGTGGGGTAGGTTACTGCTTCCCAGCGTTACTGACCCTTTGCAGGCAGTGAGCAGACATACCGTGCATCTAGCAGCGCACACCCCTGCATATATGGTAAGAGACCCAGATGATCATCCATCAGCCTAGCCAGCGACGCATCGATCTACGTGAACAAGACCCGGCATAGGAAGACGTCGTACTTAGCAAGAATTCTGCCTCATCAACTTCTGTGACTTGGAGGATATGGTCTTAGTTCCTAGGTCCCGTGTCGTCCACATGAACAGCAATCAGTATCGACTTTTCGCAACCCAGGCAAACAAGGGAACGATCGGGTTTTCAATGTTGCTCTACTTAGTAAACTTATGGAGGCAACTAAATTTAGATAAGGTATCGTAGTCTGAGCTCAATACGCCACTGTCCAGCCTGAAACTGGTGTGCCGTCCCTCAGCAAAAGTCTTTTCACAGGAGAGTGAATATGCCAAAATACCCCATCCTAATACACGAATTGCGTCGCCATTTTTCCCAGTTCGGAATACCATCGGATCACTGGAAAATTTGCATGGGTAAATTTCTAGCCCTCTCCGACTGTGCCGCTTTTGGTCCTCTCCTGAGACAGTGAGATGACTTGCAGGCTCTGAGCCATGTATACCAACGCACCGTAGAAGCCAAGACGCATATTATTCGTGAAGAGGATGCTCCTTTGCTGACGATTCAGGTACTTTGAGTCAGCATGAGAGACTCCAAACTGCCATCAGGGTACGGAAGGCAGAGGGAAGGGAGCTTGTTCACTTTCATGGATACCAGGCGAAGCAGGTAGTAAAAGGTTTTTCACTTAAGTGGAAAGCGGGCTAAAGAAGCGAAACAAGGCTAATGTGGTTTTTTAGCAGGAAAGATGATCACTTGAACCACAGCAATGACCATGGTGATGACTAGTGGCGATATTATCACTTTCAGGTCAGTATTTAGAGAACGAGGATGGTCTTTAGTCTCGGTGTATGGATCAATAACATCATTTAAATCACAACATACATATAAGAACCAATTCTCAAAGGTATTGCCTATTCAGGAAGTTGCTACGCAGAAGATCAGGAAGTGAAATAAGGAAAAAGGGTTGATAGCAGCATCTAAGTACCGCTATGTGAATAATACCTCTCCAAGCCAAAGTATTATCTATTGGCCTGACTTAACATACAGTCCCATGTACTGGTTCCGTGCCTAACACCATATGTAGCCTTCGCATGCCGTTTAATCCCCCAGAAAGCCGGGATTACCCAGTAGTAGTAAGCGTACATATATTCAGTTCTGAAAGCAGTCAGCTACTAATTTTCTCGAACTAGCGTATTCTGACCTCTTACTGTATTTACATGGGGCTAAGGCAGTTATAAGTTCAGTGGCGGCGTCTGCGTCTACAGGCTGTATGTAAGCTTCATGGGTACAGGCTTCAGGGTATATCCCTGCTTGTTTGCGCCATTGTAAGACAACGAGTAACCCCGATTTAAGTAGGCATTTGGTTAAAGACTGGGTAAGGACAAGGAGCAATGACTGAAGCGGGTATGCTCCCTGCACAATGGTTATTGGTGCTGGACATGGTTAGCAGACGGGTGGAACGCTCGCAAAGGTTAAGCATCCATTTCATGAGGAGAAGGGGGGAAGCAATGCAACCCTCACTAGTCTAGAGTTCTCAACCAAAAGAGCAGAATATCATATACAATGTCGACACCCGAAAGGGTCACACAAAGTATCGAATTTCAAACTGTGTGAAGACGGAATTTCATGCTGCCAAGTCCGGGTACTTGCATTGGGGGTAGATAGAGGAGACGCGTACATAATACGAGCTACATGGTGTAGTGTAAAGGACAGTTCTCACCTATCTTACTTACCTTCAGGGGGTATTGACCGTGTGGCGATAACAAACCTACTCCTGGTTTCGTACTCAGTACTCGATTTCGTCAAGCCCTCCTTTCGCATGGTGATGCCGAGTCAAGTCGGGCTGGTATTGATTAGAGAAAGTATGTATCTGTGTCTAGGGAAAAATCGGATCTCTGCCTAGTAGTGCTTGCTCTATGCTTCTGATGAATTCAGAATCATGTTTGGTTTGGCTTGCAGCACACCTGAATAGGGTTAATGGGTGGAATTAACGATCCTGCTCATGTGACTACTACTAGTAGACATGTTTGATTGACGCCATGCACCGACTTCTTCTGATCGGGCTTCTCTCTTCAACGGCATTGTGATCACAGTACACACTTCTGTGTGTTAGACAGCGCTGATACCTGCCTATTCACCTGCCTCCAACGGTTTTCTGTTAATCCTCCCTCCCCTTTTTCCTTTTCATTAATTTTTCTGTACTTTTACCTCCCCGCTAAGATAGTCCCTACTGAGATAGTATTTGCAGGTAGGCGACCTACATCAGTTCAATTTGTTGTCCACAAGTTTCCAAAACTAGTTAGGTATGTGTCCCAGGTTGGACCTAGCCACGGTCACCAGTTATACACCCATTGGTCACCGGTGAACTGAAGTTTGAACGACAATCGTGGTTATTGCAAGCCCCAAACACATTCGCCTCTTCTTTGGTACTTTGGGTGCTAGTTTGTTATCTCTTCCAGTCCCGCTTTCTTTTCCTCTTGCCTGCATTTGCTATTGTTCAGCTTCTGGCAATCAGTTTCTTAGAAACACCCTGTGTACGAATAATGTAAAGAGGTGCTGTTCTCCAGTTAGTCAGGCTCCTGCATACCTACATTGTTTTACTTATAAGCGCCCGAAATCTGGGCATCGCCCATTCGGCGTATTATGTTTCGAAAGGAGTTTCGGTGTTAAGCAGTTAGTCGCCAGCTCATACATACATTAACACGCCTACAAGGGGGTAGGCACTTACCCAGGTATCTACCTACCCTCGTATCTGGCGGTTACTCAGCAAGAAAAAGAAAAGAAGGAGACTTCGCAGGACGAAAGAAACAGCAAAATGGTTTCAAGAAATGCCAAGTGTCACCCAATCGAAGTGCCGATGATGGCGATGATGCTGGCGATGCCAGCGGCGACGATGTTAGTGATGACGTTGTCCTCATTATCCGCGACAATTCAGAGAGGTATCTGGAAGGCAGCCAATTAGCCTAGACAAGTGATTTGCGGCCTAACACTGAGAAGGACCAGCACAGCCACTCTGCGATATTCTCTACCTACCTCATGGCCATGTCTACTTTGGACACCGGTGACGTCTTCTATCATGATGGTTCGGCAATGCATCAGTTATATTTGCTCATGAAACCAGGTGTCGATTACTGAGATACCATTCAATTCCTTGCCTCCATAAATCAGATGCAGCATCAGTACATCCATTTTCGTCCTACATGTGGTTCCGTACTGCAGGAGTTGTTCCAACTGCTCCATTGGCTGTAATATGGCTGGCAACTGTAAAGCATCTATCTCCATCATACGGTAGCTCATCATTTGAGGCCAGGACCGCGTATGGAAGAAGCAGCACTAACGGGGGGGGGCACATTGCTTTTCACTTAGATTAAGGTCTCCAGCTACGGGCAAGATATCCCTGTTCGAACTCTGGAGCTCTACTTATGCTGATCTTATGCTGACATCAAACCGACGCCTTGTCTGACGCAGATACAAGCCTGTTCAGTCTGCCGAACGGTATACTCAAAGAGAGGCAAACGATCCCTCGTTGCTGGTATCTGCCGGTTTGTAGCTATCATTATAACTTGAATTATTTTCACTCACTCTTATTCTGTTTCTGTTTCTTTTCATTTCAGTCATCAATTTACTCATACATCTTTCATTTTGGGCAACCTGGCCATGCCTCTCAATTACCTCGGACATCAATAGATATGCATCTTCTCTCTTCTGTTGCCTAGATGCAATTCATGAATAAGTATTGTCATTTACCCAACTGATATTCCAGCGTTCCTTTTCTTTTTCTTTAATTGCTTTGTGTCTCATATTTTCCGTCTTTTTCTTAAAAAAAGAATTCTCTTTTTCCAAATTTCTTTTCCTCGATTTCATACCCCTCACCTCTGCGTTATGATGCCTGATCCCTGTCGGTTCCACAGCTGTTAGCCACTGCTTTCCTTCTCATTCCCTCTTATCGAATCTTCTCCTACCATGATCTTGCAGTGGGGCTGTTCTCGTGGATGTATCCAAAATACCCTATTACCGTTTTCTCCCATGCTCCCTTACATTTATATTTCGTTCTGCAGCTCGCTTCCTCTATCCTGGCCGCCCTCTGTGCATATGCAGAGTACACATGCCTGGAGAAAGAAGCAATTTACAAAGTTCAAGGATTATTTGTTCTTTCTTAGTTGCAGCAAGATTGCAGAATGGTTAACCTTGCACCCCTGTCAAATATTATGCCTTGGTCTTGTGCATTTCGTACCAGCGCATCCTATACGGGCCGTACTGAGGCTTCCTGGAGGGTTTGGTCAAAGCTCTGTCTGCTTCACCTTTTAACTGCCACTTTGTACCCACTTTTGCTTGACATATTTGGCCCTACTTTCCTACAATTCTCAGGTCACAGTAGTCTGCCAGGCTATCGAACTTCCCGAGCATCTTGCCTCTCTGTCTTGATTAGTCCCCCCTGTTCCCTTAACCCTAATTCGGAGCAACAAGATTCCTTTATCTGGTCTCTCACGTTGGGCCCGAGACGATTGCAAGGGTAGCGAAAGACTGCTTCACTTCCCAAGACGACTCCATTAGGAGCCCAGTCATACGGTCCTTCTCCGAGTGTAACTGCAATCCAAGATTTTTTTTTTCCCTGTCTAAAGGAATTATAAGCGTCTCTCTGGGCTTTTGACAGACCTGTTCAGCATGAGTGGTTACCCAAGGCGCAACAATCACGATGGCTCTGATAGCTACATCGTGAACCACCAGCTTGCCTTACCTGTTCCATACAGTCACGGGGACAGTCACGACTTTGGGGTAAATGATACAGGATCGTATCCTTTCCAGCAGCAAACATTCAGTACTTATGCGTCACATTTTGGCTCACCCTATAGTCATTCTGGCATCACATCCAGCACCCACCATCTGTCACCACATCAGTCACCGGGCCATTCGGTCCCGCCAACTCCAGATCATGTACCTCTTCAGCATCATATCCAGTATATGCCTCAGTCACGTTACCTCCAGTCACCAGGGTTTCTCCCACTTCGTGATGCATTCAGCGAAGCAGATATTGAAAGCCAGGATTCGCAGAATGAGAGTTCTATGCTATCAGAGCCAGTCATCCCTCCACTGGACGGCTTTCCTAATGTAAGGGAGTTTGATCAGTTGATGAAAAGGTAGGATGAACCCCGTTCACTTTGGACTCACGTTATATGCATGCTCAAATATTTGACAGTTATGTCGACGACCTTTCCGTGAAAAAGCAGGATAAGGCTTTGATCCACGCCAAAAGGGCACGGAACATCAAAAGTGTACTGATGGACCCCAAAGACACGGCTGTGGAATCAGCCCAATTCCGGTAATTCGCTCCATTGCAAGCGATATAGGCTCACTTCACTTGGGGCTAAAGTTTATGTCAATCTAGATTCTGGGTAAAGAAAATGTTCAAGCTCCAAACAGTCGGCACCGGCACATCAGATGTTCGTCTACAATCCAAACTATTTAGGATCTTGGGTGCTAACCTTGAGCGTGATTTTCAAGTGCATGAAAATGATTTGCCATGAGGGAAAACCAGTGGCTATTCGAGAGAAACTTTTCAAAATACTCACTAGAGCACATCAACAATGCCAACACGGAGGCAGAGACAAAACATCAGCTCGAGTTAGACAAATCTATTCATGGTAAGCTCGCATCCCCAACTCAATTCTCGATCCTGGTGAGATCAGAGAAACCGCATCTTTTCCTCTTTACTCCAATTACACACATTTTGAGATCTTTTCTTCCCCCTAGCATTCTCTCTTCTTGCTCATTCTCTCTACTCATCCTCAGCAAGTCCCAAGTTAATCATTAGTCCAGGGTTCCAAAGGAGCTTATTTCACGCTTTGTCAAGATATGTCCAACCTGCCAAGTGCGTCGAGGAGGTGCGCGCTTGACACCTCCTAGTTCAAGGAGAAGCTCACCTCACCTAGAGGTACTATCCCGTTCACCAAAGCTACCATCACCGCCTATGTCAAGACGTGATTCGACTTTGAACGGACAGCTTGTCCTGGAGAGACCGCAGTCGGACTACTTTACCCAACTTAGTAGCCATGGCACTTGGCTAGACAGCCAACGATCTCTACAGGAAAGGCAGGCCATCAGTGCAGGCCATGTACGATCCTTCAATGGGGGAACGATGGGCCATCTGCCAGGTACACTCCCAGGCACCCTAGATTCGTTTCATGGAGATATGCCAGTATCGTCATCCCAAGTTAGCTACAATGCGGGCTATCCTTCCACGCACGGGCCGTCCAGCCATAGGGACTACTAGAGCGTGGTGAATCGCAATAGTATCTGTTGTATGAACAAGTGGGCTAAGCTATGCAACTGAGTACTTCATATGGGATGGTGGTATAGCACGTCTTGACTGTCTTCTGATCGCCACCTACGCAGTCATTAATACGAATTCTTTAGTCTTCATAGTACTGTCCATCATTTTTACTTCCCAATGAACATTCTAGTTGGATCTGAAACGCGCACTATAGGTATCTGATGCTGGGGAATTGCCATCGCTACATTCACTCAACATCAGTGTCACCGTGATTTAGTGTGAGAGTATGGCAAATGCATTGTTTTGGACTAAATTGTCCTCCTGACTATGATTATTAAAATGCTAGATGACTTGTCCTCTTCGCAGGGGTCGGGTAATCCTATAGCGCATACCGACCAAGATTAGTTGCGTGAATGTTAGCTACTTTATAAAGGTGCCTGTCGCTGGACAACATTTAACATTCATTGGTAGCTAGACATATATTTCCCTCCAACTTTCCGCGGAATTGCACGGTTGACCATCCTCCTCGACACTCGCAATACCGATTATGACGAAACCAGTTACCATATACGCCGAACTTAAACAGGCAATGAGAACTTCTTGCCCTTCATAACCCTGTACGACAGTTAGCCTCGCCCCGGGAACTCATAGAGGAAGCTTATTCGCGCTCACTTGGTGTAGTAGATATAAAAGAAATCCGAATATAGTAGTGTCTGGACGATACCGGCTACGACAGGGATGGGTTGGAAGTGACTCTCTGCAAAATAGCGATAGATCCAATTAGGGATGTAAAGGGCACGATACAATCCCAAAGCGAAAAGATAATGTGTCGTTATGGTGTCTGCCTCCCCAGTGCGCTGAAGCATGAAAAGTTGGGGCAAGATAGCCACGGACTCGAGCCATATAGAGAACGTCCAGAGAATCTAGTAAGGTCAGATAAAGTGTGACATTAAATCCTCCCAGGGGAGATACCTCTGAGACGCTATAATCATGCGGGAAAAGGAGAGCCAATAGAGCACTAAACCCTAGGAGATACTGCACTTTGAAGGTATCAGTATTGGGGTCATGCGTTGGCTTGTAGTCGTTGAGCATGAGGTAAATGATGTAAGCCGACGAGCCGATGAACAAGATTTTGAAAGTCGTGTTGTAAAAGGAGTCCGTGAAAGCCCAGAACAAATCTGTAACAGAAGTCCGTCAGAGAGTTACGCCTATATAATCAAGTGCTGAGGCTCCGAAGCTTACCAAGATAACGCGTTACAAATACCATCAAATATAGCGCCTGGGACTTGAATGAAAGTCCTGAACAACTCTATCTCCAGTCAGAAAAGGCTAAGAAACAATTGTGATGACAACATACACTTGAAGACTTCATCTTCTGTAATAGTATGAATATAGACGCGAGGTGAGAAAAGTCGGCTTGATTGCATTGATTAGCAAGGCGCGTCAATTCCACTGAGAGCGAACGGACAAGACTCACCTAATAACCTGAAGATATTCATGATGGCGAATTAAGTCAAATCACCTTAACCTCAGGTACGTAATGCAGATTATCAAATGCTTGTTCAGTCCAATAGAGGGGTATCAATGAAAATTGGCCATGGGAGTGCTTATGACGAAGCTAGACCTCCTATGTTATATGCAATTGTTCTGCTAGCAGTACTGAAATATGCCTAGATGTTGACACGAAGCCTCAAGTGTATGCGCCACAGGGAGCGCCCCACATCATGTGTGATGCCGTAATACAAATATAGCCAGCCACCAACAGGGACAGCGGGCAGGGTCCACGGTACCTGGCTACCTGCAGCAGCGGCTAACTACTTTGATCTTGATCTGTCTTAGCTAACCGAACACCTGCCCCATGTGAATCAATTCTAACTATATCAGGTAAGACAGAGTTCGCACTACCTTTACCTAAACTTGGGGAGGGCCGAAAAGGACCAAGAAGGGATTAAAAAAGAAGAAAAAAAAATTAAGGAAAAAAGGAAAAAAAGAAAAGAAAGAGAAAGAGACAGAGAGGAAAGAACCGGGAATAAGAAAGAAAACCATTACGCTTTTGGATATATAGTAGAAAATGCACATATGAAGCAGCCATTACTCATCAGTGCATTTCTTGTAAAATATGCTCCACTGTCAGAAAGCTTCATATTTGTAAATTGTCCTATGAGATGAGGATCTTTGATAGAATAAGATACTGCGAATCACGAGATGTGCGCGAAAGCGGAAGTAAATATATGTTTTCTACTTGTTCTTCTACTTGAGACTGCAATGGCTGGTATGTCAATGATAATGTGCGACCTAATGTCAGAACATCGCGCCAGCATGGACACCTTCACCATCAGCTATTCGCTGTAAATGTCCTTCTGCCAGTTCACTCTTTAATGCACAAATAGAACTTTCCCTGTCAAGCCTATCCCAATCTCGAATCCCAGCTCGCCTCAGCTTCTGACTGTCCGCAATTTGTTCAAAAAGTCTGTCTTTGTCTGCTTCCAGTTGAGACAGGCGCTTTTCCAAGGCAATATCAAGTGCGGTTGGGATGATTTTGCCTTCGGGTATAATTTGGCGAAGGCCGGCAAGGTGACTAAGATGTCTCGGGAAACGAGGGGGGTAGGAAGGCCCAGTAACGCTACCTTGTCTGCTGGGATGGGAGCGGGGCAGCTCGACGCCGGGACCTGTTGACATAATACTACTGCGCGGACCAGTCGGTGGGGAACCGTGGAGTCCGGTAGACGCAGGCCCACGGCGGACTGGAGAGGCTGCCCAGGACGACTCCTTAAAACTTGGACCGCCGCGTGGCCGAGTTGGAGCTGACAACAACGAAATATTTGACCCACGATTCTGCAACATTACTTTGGACCCATGCGATGGGCCAGATGGTGGTGTTTGACCTTGTAACATATGGCTGTATGCCTTCGGCTGTACTGGAACGTTGCGGGATTGGTATGTGTCTGGTGGGCCAGACGGTAATCGAGGGGCTTCAGGTACTCGTTGTTGGGACCTGGCGCTTCCAAAATCCTGCCCATTGCCCATAGGTCGTTCAGGTGCTGGCGATCTATGCCTCGGTTCCTCGGGTGCGGGCTTGCGACTGACCGAACGGGCTCGCTCTTCTCGAGTGGATGACCGATCTGAAGTCCTTGAAAGACATCTAGGAGGGTTTTGATGAGTTGGCGACCGGCTTGGGGCATTGGATGAATTCATATTGAGTCTTTCGGTAAAAGGAGACGATCGTCTTGAATTCGGAAGTGAGCCAGATGCGGAGGTACGCATAGGTGATGCGCCCTTAGGGGATACTGATCGCCGCTTCTTGTTTAACGGAATGTCCAGGTGGCGTTCCCTGCGTCCTCCATGAAAAGGGCTTCTGGATCTATGGGGAAGTGGTGCACGGTTGCCACCATCACGGAATGGAATGTCAGGTTTTGTATATATGTCGCCAGGGGGTTGATTCCGCTCTCGCCTAGAGAATCTGTAGTCATGACTGCGCGGTGAAATATCCCGGGGGCGTTTGTGGTTACTCCGACTCCATGAGATATCACGCTGGCGGCTCTCGCCATAGGGAGACCTTGAGCGCCACGAGGCCTGGTGAGGCGACCGATTTCGCACCTCACCTCGTCTGGGCGAGAACCGCCTCGGCGATGGACACGGCTTTGAAAAGGTGCTCATTCCAACTTCCCCCCTGTAGAACGATGGACTGCGTGAGAGGCGACGTCTTGGAGCCGGTGGTGAGCGACTACGCACACGGCCATACGTCCGACCATGTGATGGTACCCATGTATCTGCAACAAGACGAGGAGAGTGAACTCGCGGGGGGGATCTGCTGCGTCGTATATAAGCGCGAGGAGCACCAGGACGGTAACTCTCTCCGCCACGGAGATCATCAAATCTATTCGCGGTCATCTTCTTAGCCACTACCAAGACGAGGGGATTGCTCGAACCAACCTTCTACTGCGATCCCAATCCATCTTTTTTCGTATCGTCAAAAGTATGATCCTGCGCACTCGGTAGTTACACTTGATTCAGGCTGCCGGTTCAGTTTATGCTCATTTTGAAATGGAGATTGGCACATGCTGTACGGACCAGTCCGGATTCCATCAATGTACAGCGTTGAGCGGGTATTTAGTATCACGTGCTTTCCAAAAGTCTCACCATTGGACACGGGGGCAGGTGCTATGCTTCGTAGCGCATGAGATCTTTAGTCTTCATTGTTTATTGTAAGGAGATCACAGACAAAGCCCCGGTGTTTGGTTTTTCACAGGGGATCTCCGATCATTACATATGATGTGATATTGTCTACCAGCTTGGCCTTATTGAGCCTATCGCAGCTAAATAACCTTTTTAACTATGAAGTCAATGTCCACCAAAATGTCAGTTTTTCGAAGTTTCAGTGTCGGTGAACATTGCGGTTTTCAAAACCAAACTGTAACGTTCCGGTGGTCAAGGCAAACTCCGGCCACTAGAGCAAATTCATGAATCCTATCAGTGCAAGAAACTTACAAAACCAATACCTAAATCAAGTTTAATAGTCATGCTCGATTAAACGACAAAGGCTGATTGAGATACATTATCTTTGTGGTAGATGTGCTTTCTTAATTTCCATGATCTTTTCGATTAGAGGTTCATTTGACAATGCCTGCTCGGCCGCCTCATTTCCTGCAATTGCTTTATTAGAACCCTGACCAGAGCCAAGGTGCTTATGGTTCCAACCCCAACCAGTGAGATATACTCCGATAAAATACGTCTGTAACCCCCTGCCGCGCTGAGCAGGAGGCCGTTCATCGATGTAATTAAGTTTAATCCCCTTGCCCATGATTTTCTTCGCAAGTGCTTCTTTGGCATGCAAGGAGGACTTCGGCTTTCCAAGCTTTTCAAGCTCCGGAGACCACAACTGTCTTAGCCATTCCTCAGCCACACGATAACCATTGCTTGTATCTGACAGGACAACGGCAGCTACATAAGCCTCAAAGATGTCCGCCTTGGTTTTTAGCCATCTTTTGGGTTGCTTTTGGTAGTCCGGGGGTACGGAAACCCTGCTGTCGAGTCCGTACTTAGACGCATAATCAGACAAGGTCTCATTCTTGACAAGTGTCTCTCGGATCTGTGATATTCGACCGGAAGGAATATCCTTGAATGTGTCCCAGATGAGCTTTGTCGAGATAAGTTCTATATATGCATCTCCGAGAACCTCCAGCCGATCATAAGTAGCTCTGATGTTGCTGCTCACACCTGGGTGAGTGAAGACTGCCCTCTCAAGCACGTCATCTAATATCGGAGGTAACGGGGGCAAGCAAGACTCCATATTTGCCTCGGGTGTCTCTAGCGGCAGTGTCGCATCCTGAGAGCATTTAGTAGTAGACGTAATGGCACCTGCTGCGCGCTGTAATGCAGCGTCGAGCTCAGTAGCTGCAGTCAAGATATCGGCGTCGGTCTGAAATCCGCGGCTTTGAGAGATGCCTTGGCTCTGTATAATTTCCTGAAGCAATGTTCTCAGAAGCACGACATTATTCTCTTTGCTTTGCGGGCTGTGCGTGGAGGGGATTGATTCTTTCGCAAGCTGCAAGTCATCATCGTACTTCGGTAGTGTTAGTGCAAGCCGGGGCACACGAAAGTATATATTCACCTTTGCTTTCTTTTTTTCACAATTGGAAGGTAGTGAAAACACTGATTTTCGTTTCGAACACATGATGGTCATGGCGTAAACGATCATAATTCATACATAGAACTAGACTCAGATGCCAAAGTATGGACAATGGGTTATCACGTGACAAGGTTAGTAGTTGTATCTGAACAGAAACTCCGCCATCGCTACCCTAACAGTATCCACCCGAACACGCCGTGTCGACAATGGCGGCGCCGTACAGCAGACTGCTTGATCTGGTCAAGGTATTTAACAGAGCGCAGCTTAGCTGGGATAATCCCTTGTCTAGCTTTTTTTCCCCTTCCAGGCTAATCCGTATCACACCGGCCAGGTCCAATGTCGGATCTTCTCGCTGAACTTCAACCCCGAAAGAGCGCGATTGGGAAACAAGATTCTACGACAGCGCCTGCGTGGCCCGGCGCTGGCAGCATGGTACCCGAGAAAGACGGTCTCGTTTCGTGATTTGCAGGACACATACAGTCGCTCAGGTCTAACAATGTTCGATGAGGCTGAGGATGATCGTGAGGAAGCAATTCAAATGTATGTTGCTTAGGAGTCTTTCTTCTAGCAGATGCTTATTAATTTGTGATAGTGCGAAGTTACGAGGGAAGGGTCGACCCAAAAAGAAAAGAACGGCTGCAGGTAAGGTCCAGAAATCAAGAACAGTTTGCGCGCAATCGTTTAACTTGTGAACATAGAATCGCGATCAGCAAAAAAGAAGAAATAGATTCCTTGTGACAAATGAGGTTGAACTATCAGTTCTATTGCAAGGGATTGTCCACCATGCTGTGCATTATGGCCTAATACCAAGCTGTTGGTTTATTGCTCCCTTTAAGCTTATCCGGTTTGACGTATTTTTTTTTTTATCACTGTTTGTTCTCCCTTGTTTATTCATTACCTTCGGGGTCTGTATAGTATAGTGTATAGAAAATTCGAACATGACAACAATCCCATTTGTTGTATTTTAGCTAAAAGCAGTTGTTGTCGGACCATCGAGTAGATTTTCGAAGAAAGAGCTAGTCATAGGTACATTTCACAATGTCATGTTGCAAAGAAATAGGATTTCCATGACGACCTATTAGCACTTGGTCGATCGGACGGGAGTTGAAGGGACCAATCAATGGAGGGAGCCGGTGGTGACGAGATCACATGACTGGTCCAGAATGCCGCTAAATGGGACTCTTATCATAGTGGCCTAGATAGTGCAGAGATCCCAGGAGGCTAATAGTAACATCTACAACGGAACCCACGATCTTGCACGACTCCTCGTTGCTCTGTCTCCTAAGAATACATCTCTTGACTTGGGCCCAATTCATTCCAGGAAATTAGGGTGCATCTAAGCTGAGCGCATTGCAAGCACAGGCGTTATATAAGGTGAAGCTTTCGCGAGGAAAATGGGTAAGAACCAGTTGAGGCGGGCTAGGAAAAAGGCTCTTAAATCACAGGTATGATCTGTGCAATGCTTTATTGGAGAATTACTCACTTTTTGCACCAGGCGACTGAGACGTCCTCAAACACACCCCATGCGCAGGCCCAGGTCGATGAAAACATATCGCCAAGTATCTCCAAGGCTGCTAGTACAGAGCTACAAATCACGGTTTTCCCGGATTCTGCCGATCCACTATGGCAGATGTATAAGGATATCGTTGACAAATTTGAAGAACCCGAAGATGAAAAATCGAGTTTGAAGGAGCCTCCAAAACCAGAAATCTACTTTGACGATGATAATGAAATACCGGATGAGGAAGAGAAAGAATCTTCTATATCGAAACGGAAGCGAAAGGAGTTAAACAAGCTTTCTGTCGCCGAACTGAAAGCGATGGTCCGAAGGCCTGAAATAGTCGAATGGACGGATACATCAGCCCCTGATCCTCGGTTGCTTGTCCATTTAAAGGCACAACGCAATGTTGTCCCCGTGCCTTCGCATTGGAATCTGAAACGGGAATACCTTTCTTCCAAGAGAGGTATAGAGAAGCCACCATTTGCTCTTCCCAAGTTCATCCAGGAAACCGGAATCTCGGAGATGCGCGATGCTGCATTGGAGAAACAGGAGCAGGCAACGTTGAAACAGAAACAGAGGGAGCGAGTTCAGCCGAAAATGGGAAGATTGGACATTGATTATCAAAAACTATACGAGGCATTTTTCCGGTTCCAGACTAAGCCGGAGCTTACGCGGTATGGCGAAGTCTATTACGAGGGCAAAGAATACGAGACCAATCTTAGACACCTCCGGCCGGGTGAGTTGAGTGCTGAGCTGAAAGAGGCGCTTAATATGCCACCTGGCGCCCCTCCTCCTTGGTTAATCAATCAACAACGATACGGCCCGCCCCCTTCTTACCCGGCTCTGAAGATTCCAGGTCTTAATGCCCCTCCGCCCCCTGGCGCTATGTGGGGATATCATCCTGGAGGTTATGGAAAGCCTCCAGTCGATGAGCACAACAGACCTTTGTACGGTGGCGACATATTCGGTGTGCTACAACCTCAGCAATCCGTGCAGCAGGGCGAACCCGTTGAAAAAGACCTTTGGGGAGAATTACAAGAACCAGATATCTCAGAGGATGAAAGCGAGGAAGAGGAGGAAGCAGACAGTGCGGATGATGATGATGATGATGATGTCGATGACGTTGAGGCAGGAGTGCAGACCCCAAGTGGATTAGAAACCCCCAGTGGGTTGGCTTCTGCTGTTCCGTCTGAGATGACGGGTCCCGAGAATATTGCTGGTGAGTTCGACGTACGAAAGCACTATCGGGGAACTCAGACCGAAGAGTCGGTGGGCCAGAGAAGCGCTTTCCAAGTCATCCCAGAGAGACAGACGCAAGTACAGGGGTTTTTCGGTGCTGATAGGGCATATGACCTTGGTGCATCCTCGAACACTCTGCCAGTGCTTGGCTCTGATGACAGTGGCAAGAAACGCAAAAGGCCTGGAGACGTTGACGTATCTGTTGATCCCGATGCATTGCACGCGAACGATGGCATTGATCGAGAGGATATAAAAAGGTTATACGATTCCCAGAAAAGACAAAGCAATCCAGGCTGGGATTTTCAGGAGGATCTTAGCGACATGATTGCGCATGAGAGCCGAAAGAGGCTGAAATAGGCAGATGAATAATTAGCCATACTTCTTCCTGCTAATACGATTATTTGGACAGCTACCGGTTCTTTTCCATAGCTACTGCTTCAAATAGATGTGTCATTCTCATGTGTTGAGGGGCGTTTACCATCAAAGAGGTTGATCGGTGGGCTAATTAATTAATTCATACACACCTATGTTGGCCCTAACGGCAACTTATACAATGACATATGTCAAAAGGATTACCTGATGGCCTCTTCCACCCTTCCGTCACTTCTATGGATGAAACAGCTGTTAGCTAAACTGTTTGTATCAATACTTTCTCCAAGGATTTCTAGCATAGAAGGACAAGGAATATGAGTTTTGTTAAGAAGAAGGGCAACCAGTGCCAACGGGTAGTTAGGATCTTTACAGTTCAGACATCTGATACATAACTGCAAGTCATATAATCCATATATTAATTAGACTGTCTGCAGGATTATAGATATTTATAGGATATTAAATGAATATTAACTATTTGATTATTAAATAAATACATATAGGTAATATAATTGAAACTTTATAATAATTATTTTCTAATATGTAAGGACTTGAATCCCTATAAATTTCATGATAAAGGATATCGCGAGGTATACCCATGCTGATATCAGTTCTACTATAAGGGCCGTTGCCAGAGTACTATATAACTCATAAATCAGTATGAAATAATACTAGTTTATTTATAAAATAAAATTAAAAGAATTAATAACAGTATCTTAAAATGATTAATTTCTATCTTTTATATTTATAAATAGAAGATATATTTTTATATTATCTTAGATTTTTATTTTTGTAATCTTGTTATTTAAAACCCATGAGATAATTTATTAAATTATATTTATATAAAATACTAGAAACTATATTCATAAAAAATCTCTAGAATTCTCTAATTTACTAGTCTATAAGACTAATATAAAATTATTTATAAAAGAATTTAGAGAAGTATAAATATTTTTGAATAATTTATATAAATAATTTAATTTATTTAATTTAATTACAGATTTAGAATTAAAATTAAACATTATTATAAAATGAAAGAAAACCCGCAGAGATTTAAATAATTTAGAAAATCTTATTATAAATATCAAATATTTTAATATTTATAATTATATTTTTATTAATTATTCATTATTTAATAAAGATTAATTATAAAAATAAAAAACTGAAGTAAAAAATATAAATTATGAATTATAAATATTTATTTAAATTATATCATTAAAAATCTCTAAAAAAAGGGGAAACTATGATTATTTATTGTAATTATAAATAAAAAGATTTTTATACATTTTTAAAAACATAATTAAATAAATTTAATAATAAATAACAGGAAACCTGGTTATAGATTCTAAAATTATTTTTTATAAAAAAAAACTTATATATCTTTAATAATAAAAAAATAAAAATAATATTTAATTATAAGACCCAGAAGCTAGATATAATATAATTTATTTTATTTTTTAAATTTTTTTAATAATAATTTAATATAAGATTTATAAATAATTAAATTTTTTCTATGAATAGATAAAATTTAATAATATTTTTATGAGGATCTAGCTAAGTCTTAATTAATAAAATAAAAAACTAAATTATTTATAAAAATACCAGTATTATTCAAAAATAAAATTAAGCTATTTTATAAATATTTTTTACAAAATAAAAAATTATAAATTTATACTTCTAAAAAAAGATAATTTAAATATAATTTTATAAATATTATTAATAAAATCTATAAATTTCTATAATAATAATAATTTATTTTATTTATAAAAAGCTAAATTATTATACAATTAATCATTATTTTTATAAGAAAAAAACAGCTATAAAATATATTCTCTGTAATATATAATAAAATAATAAAATAAGAACCAGTCTCTATAATAATAATTATGAAATTTTGAAAGAAAAAATGTTTATTTAAAAACAATTTTTATTTTTATAATAATATTACAAAATATTAAAAATATTATGAAAATCATTGAAACATTATGATTATGATACCTGATATAAAAAAATTATATTGAAAATATTTTATATTTATATTATAAAATTAATTATAAAATTTAATTATTATTATATCTCCGCGGAGAAGCTTATCACGGAAAAATAAAATAAAATGAATTATTATAATAATCTAAAAAATCTGTAAAAATAAAAAAAATCATTTAAATAATTATAAAATTTAATACAATATTTATAAAGAAAAAGACCATGTTATATTTAATTTTATCCTTTAGAATTTATTCTATTTATAAAATATCTTCCACGGAGTAAAAGACTTTATAAAAATATTTATAAAAATATTTTATAAAAAAATTAGATCAAAAATTTGAGATCTTTGATAAAAATTCTAGTTTTATTTATAAAAAAGAAAGATAAAAGTCTATAAATATATTTTAATTTATTTAATTTTATTTTTACAAGGTCTACCATAGAATAAGAATTATAAAAGATTATAAATAAAAAACTAGTATTCTATATAAAATATAAACTATTTAAATATATAATTATATTTTTTTAAATTAAGTAATATATTTACAGGATATTAAAAATTCATAAATTTATTATTCACGGAAAACTTAGACTATTATATTATTATTTATTTGAATGATATTATTATATACTTATGGGACCTAAAATATATAGAAAATTAATTTTTTAAATTTTATTATTAGCTATAAAGATATCTAGAAAAAATTAAAATAAATTAGAATTATTTATAAATAACTTAAATTATAGAATATTAAGGAGATTTTTATAATATATAAATTCTATAAATTAATATTATCAATTTATATAAAAATATTTTTGAATATCCAGCTTACTTATAAATTTAATAAAAATATGTTATAAAAAAAGGAAAAGAGAGTTTAATCTAAATTTTTTAATTAAAAAGATATATTTATAGAGAATATTATTATAATTTATTTTAAGAAAAAAATAAGTATATATTAACATTAATATATTAATATTTATAATTAATAGAATATTATTATGAAAAAATAAGAATAATTAATAAATATTAATTATATATTATTTATAGAAAACAATTATAGTAGAACAGAGTTATAGAATTATTAATTAAAAATTATCATGAAAATAAAAATAATCGATATAATATCTTATAATATTTAAATTTTTAAAAAAATATTTATAAAAGATTATAAAAAATAAAAAAAGAAAATATTATAATAATTTTTTTATTGATTTATAATATATTATTAAAAAACAGATTCTGTAATAATTAAAATAAATATTAATTTATAAAGATATTCTAATATTAGAATAGCTCGTGGAAAAATAAAAAGTATTATTTTCAAAAAATTATAATTCAATAAAAATTTATCCACAGAACTACTTGAGAAAATTTTATATATAATAAATTAAGATAAATAAATTTAGAAAATCTATAAAATATCAAAAATTTTTCGAAATTCTGACTTCATAAATAAGAAAGAACAGATAAGTTTCTAAAATAAAAAAAATAAAAATTTTAGATAAAAATATCACAGGGCTTGCAGGTCCTACTAAAAAATACTTTATAAGAAATAATTAAAATTATTGAAATTATTACTAATATTTACAAAATTATAAAAAAATGAATAATAGATTTTATTATAAATTTATTTATGAATATTAATATTATGAAGAACTCACGAGAGAATTTTGATAGTATTCTAATAATAATAAATGAATAAATTAAAAAATATACTATATTCTCTTATGGAAAAGTCTTATGGAAAAGAATTTTATAAAATTTTCTTAAAAAAAATTTAATAATATTATAAAATATCTATAAAAATTATTATAGATTATAATAATATATTTATATATAATTTTTTAGTTTAATTTTATATATACTCTCATGATATAGTAGAAATTAATATAATTTATTATTTATAAATTAATAATTAAATAAGATATTTAAGTAATATGCTTATATAATATTTATAAAATTTATATATAATAACTTCTCATAAGCCTTTGTTAAAAAAATATTAATTTATATTATATTTTTAAATTATTTATCAATAATTAAATTAAACTTCTATAAAAAACTAGATAAGAAAAAATATTTTTTTTATATAAATTAAAAGAATCTGATAGCTACTTATAGAAAATAAAAAAGATATTATCATTATATAAGATAATTTAAAAGCCTTGTGATAAATATTAATATTTTTTAGCTGGGGAACAGTCTTTTTTGAAATAAAAAATAATTAAAAAAATTATATTATAAAAATCCAAAAATTTATTCAATTTCTTATAAATGCTAATTATTAGATATTTTTATATTATATATAAGTAAAATATTAACTATAAGATTAGAAGCAGGTTATATTAATTATATAATATATATTTTTATTTTCTTAATATTAATAACCTGTTTCTGTCTTTTTTTATTAATTATTATATTATAAACAAATAGAAAGATAATAAGAAACTGGACTAGCTATTAAAATATAAATAAATTAATATACCTTTATAATTTTATCTTTATTTATAATTAATAATATTGTCTGTAATATTATATCTAAATTAACAATTATTAATAAAGACAATAAATCTGAAAACTAGTTGATTATTATAGATTTTTCTATTACTAGTATTTTTCATATGAAATCTATTAATCTTAATATAAAACCTGCACTGCTACCTAAACAACTACTATCTTATTCTATATGTATTCATTAATTTTTATATGTACTTCTTAGATTCCTAGTATCATATATTATCAGTATAAATAATAATCCAGACCTAAATCTCAATACTTTTTATCAATTATTTATTAGTAATTATTTTATTTATATTTCATCTTTAAAAACTGTAATTATAAAGTTTTCTTAAATTTATCAACTAGGGGGACCAGCTCTACCAAAAACCAATATTCTATAATATTAATTATCGTTATATATACTAATATAATACTATAGCATGTACTGAAGTATCTAGACAGTATATAATAATATATTATAAGATATTAAAAATACATAAATAAGATATTTTCTATATAATTTCATATTTATAAAATATATATCTTTTTCTATTCAAATAAATATTCAAAAGAAAATATAATATTATTTACATGGCCTGCTTTATCATTAAAAATCTTTAATAAATGTCATATAAATAGTGTAAGCTATTTTATATTTTTCTAGTAGTTAACAGTATCAAATATTAATATATAAATTATATTATATCCACAGGAAAGAGCCTCTTTATATTTATTAAT